CAAACACACAGGCCCTAAACACGATGTCACACTGTTCACAAGGGAGGCGCATTTGATACAAACAGATACGTTACTCTCTCACACATACACACACACACACACTTTCAAACCCAGTCACACATAGAAAGCATGGAGTGAGCTGAACTCTGTCAAACCTAACAGTGATAGTGCATACTAAGAATCAACCAATCAATCAAATAAATAAAACACTTTCCATATCCATCACACACACAAAGCCAAGAACACAATGGACATACACAGTAAACACAGACACCTCTCTCGCTCTCTCTCTCTCTCATCCATGCACTCACAATAACATACACAACATGCTTTGACTAATTCAGACCATTCTGTCTCCTGTGGGAAAATTGATCCTAATTAAGTGTCTGTTGTACTGCAGACGCAGTATAATTACTATAGAGGAAGAGGAGGACTGAATTTATAGCCTTGTAATGAATTTCAATTGTCATACATATAATGTCCAGGAAATGGCTTTATCCTTGAGACAGATAAGAACAGAGTAGACCAACGCTATTACCATTAAATCAAAGCAACTATAACTGAACCTTGTTGGCTAAAGAATAACTGCTATTATGTTAATGAAAACATTATTTTATGTTGCTCCCCTACAGTACTTTTATGAACACAACTCACTGTAATCAATCAATAATATTGCAAATTATTTTAGACACTATGGAGCTCGTTCTCCTTTCAGTTAATAAGAAATATTTTGTCCGTCCTGTACACAACAAGTTCGCCATCGGTATTTTAACACCCACAGTGTTAAATGTAATACTTTCTTAGAAATGATATGTGACCATCTCAAATAGTCTTAAACTAACACTAAGTGTTGATAAACTAACACCCCAAGAGTGTTGGGTCCATAACACCATGGGTGTTGCAAATTTCAACTTAAATTAAAGACCATGAACAGTCCAAATCATGTTTTTCATGAAATTGTATGATATTTGGATGAAACCAGATCAAAGTATGACGACCAAAGTATGAAAAATAACTGTTGCTTCTACATTGATCAAGTTTGATCATAAAGTTACTGGTCCCCTCCCCCGTGTCAAACACTTAAATTCAGGAGGTGGGATTATTAAGGGGATAGGGTGACATCACCCTAACGCTCTCATTTTAATACACCAATGGTAACATGATATTCTCTTGCCTAATTTAAATAAGTACCGCCTTGTAACCGCAGAGGGGCGTGGAATATATAGCTAGATAGCTACTCTACTGGTGCCAAAATTTGACTTTTGGGTGTCAGCAAATATAATTACAAGTTTACCCTATTCATACAGTTGAAGTCGGAAGTTTACATACACCTTAGCCAAATACATTTAACTCAGTTTTTCCCTGTCTTAGGTCAGTTAGCATCACCACTTTATTTGAAATGTCAGAATAATAGTAGAGAGAATGATTTATTTCAGCTTTTATTTCTTTCATCACATTCCCAGTGGGTCAGAAGTTTACATACACTCAATTAGTATTTGGTAGCATTGCCTTTAAAAAAATGTACTTGGGTCAAACGTTTCGGGTAGCCTTCCACAAGCTTCCCACAATAAGTTGGGAGAATTTTGGCCCATTCCTCCTGACAGAGCTGGTGTAACTGAGTCAGGTTTGTAGGCCTCCTTGCTCGCACACGCTTTTTCAGTTCTGCTCACACATTTTCTATAGGATTGAGGTCAGGGCTTTGTGATGGCCACTCCAATACCTTGACTTTGTTGTCCTTAAGCCATTTTGCCACAACTTTGGAAGTATGCTTGGGGTCATTGTCCATTTGGAAGACCCATTTGCGACCAAGCTTTGACTTCCTGACTGATGTCTTGAGATGTTGCTTCAATATATCCGCATCATTTTCCTTCCTCATGATGCCATCTATTTTGTGAAGTGCACTAGTCCCTCCTGCAGCAAAGCTCCCCCACAGCATGATGCTGCCACCCCAGTGCTTCACGGTTGGGATGGTGCTCTTCGGCTTGCAAGCAACCCCCTTTTTCCTCCAAACATAACGATGGTCATTATGGCCAAACAGTTCTATTTTTGTTTCATCAGACCAGAGGACATTTCTCCAAAAAGTACGATCTTTGTCCCCATGTGCAGTTGCAAACCGTGTCAATATAGGACTCGTTTTACTGTGGATATAGATAGTTTTGTACCTGTTTCCTCCAGCATCTTCAGAAGGTCCTTTGCTGTTGTTCTGGGATTGATTTGCACTTTTCGCACCAAAGTACGTTAATCTCTAGGAGACAGAACACGTCTCCTTCCTGAGCGGTATGACAGCTGCGTGGTCCCATGGTTTGCTATCAAGAAATGTGTGGAGTGGTTGAAAAACGAGTTTTAATGACTCCAACCTAAGTGTATGTAAACTTCCGACTTCAACTGTATATAGGGTAAACTTGTTCCCCATTCATCTGTGTCTGGTGTTAGCTAGTTACCTAGGTCTTCAGCCAGCATGGAACAAAATGGGGTGAAGGGTCATTCAAAACTCCGACACAGTTGTCAAGTCAAAACATCCGTCAGTGCTGCTGTGAACCACATCACAAGAAACATGGCAAACAGGAGACGTATATAAAAAAAAGGAATTGATATCATTGATGCAATTTCAATGTTGTTTGAGTTGCTTTGTGCATCACCAAATTGTCTTGAGATGATTTTACTGCAACACTGCTCACTGCATCCAAGTTTCTTGACATAGGTGTTTCAAAGAGCTGTCAAACAAGGCGAGCTCATGAATGTAAGCTCCCCGCCCACTTAGCCTGTCTTTTAAAACATCCTGGTAGTTAGCCATGAGAGAAAAATTACTTTTTCTCAATGTATTTGCATTTCTATCCCCAAAAAATACTATGGTTGATTTTTTTGTTACTCAAAATGTTATTTTACATTGGAATCAGAATGACTGTTTGGGACCTTAAACACTTTATTAGAGCTGATGCTGTTCAACTTTCTCAGTGTTAGGGAATTAACACCTGTGGTGTTACAGTAACTGGTTTTGCAGTGTTGTTTTAACACTGTAGGGTGTAAAGCCTTATTTGCATATTTATTTCCCAGGGTGCCTTTCGAGGGAATTTTAGGTGCTAGTGACAGAGACATGGTTGTTGCAGTCGATGACTTTAAGTCCTGTAGCCTTCACAAAGTGGGGGCCTAAGTGACTATTTTATCATAAAAACGTGATTAATCATGACAATACCATACTTTGACAGCTTAGTGTTACCCTAACACAGTGGTATAAAACTCCTGGTTTGCAGGCCACATCAGCCAGTCACATTCTGTTGGCTTGCAAAGTGTTATATAATTGCTATTGGAATTCAGCCAGAGTTAGGATAGCCAACAATTGGACCTTTCCAGCACCCACAACTGCAGTTAGAATAACTGCCAAGATAAGGAATATTAATAATTGAGACTACCTAAACCATCTAAACTGGAACAACCATCTCAATAACGGGTGAATAAGTCCAACCACTTACAGATTGGATTAGGTTAGAAAAATGTATGTTATTTATCTTTGTGTAGTATAAGACCAATTAATCAATCAATGTGCGTACAGAAACATAGATATTAAAACAAACTATTCTAAAAAGCAACCTGCAACAAAGCATGCTGGGAAATATGATAATGATGCCCCTCCCAGGTCTTTTTCACTCAGAGTTAACGGAAATTAACTCAACACATTCGAGTAACAACAACACCACGATTCTGTAAATTCTGTTGTTATTTTGTTATTATAATCTGTGAACAACGTGCCCTAATTTCTGCCAACAAAGCCAATGTCAGCCATTCCTCTCCTGTTCTCATTTAGGGTTGTCAGAAGCCAAGACTTGTGAGCGTCATAGAGCATGTTACATGTGCGTGTTCCTGAGACTCAGCTTTTCATAGATAGCTTTTAATAGTTTGTAGCTCAAACCATTCGGACTCTACATATGTTTTTGTATAAAAGACACGGCCCCGGGCCCCTTCGGGATCCACCCTTGTCTCACAAACACCGCTCTAGCTTGTTAATCACACAGACTACAGATGCAGAAGAAATAGACATATCCAATGGTACAACCCAGAGGTTTGTAGCTCAAACACACTATGTTTAAACAGGGTTAGAAGTCCAAAACGTGCCTGCAATACAGTGTGACTCATTGGGTTAACATCTTTTTAGCTTCCTCTCATGGATATGTTTTGTATAATTTGTATATTTTTTTCTTGTGTTTTGTTGTTTTCTTTTGCAGGGACAGTGGAGACACAGGGTTCCTAGTGGAGGCTGTTTTGAGCTGGTCTCCTGTCCTCATTACTTTGCTGAGCTGCTGATCTATGAATCTCTGGGGATTGTCTCTGGCAGTCACACTCTCACCTGGTGGCTCATTGTCCTCTTAATAAACACAGGCCCTTCCTCACTTTGATGTCTATAGTTCTGACTGGGTCTTGACTGCTGGAGCCACTGTACCTCTCATACCGCCTCCAACAGAAGGCCATTAAAGGAAATAAATGGAATAGAAACAGTTAACATGGTTCTGCCTACATTTGCTCTACAAAAGCTGAATGAATGTGTTCAATGAAAGTTCCCACAGCAGCCACTGGATGGCACTATAAATTTGAGTCAATGACAGTTTGGATATTTTGCATTGTGGATTTTCTGAGCTGTTTTCTCAGGCAGTGGCTCGAGCAGTGAAGTCAGAGGCTGTCAAGAGGCAGAGACTGTAAAAAATATACTATCGGAGGTCTTCTGGCCAAACTCTTGCTGCCACCTGCTGTTTACACCTGTAACATCAACAGCACATTAATGAATCATTGTGTTTTTTATCATCTATTGATTGGATCAGTTATATCAGTAATGTATCATACAGTATTGTGGTTATTTATCTGATGACCTACCTAATACACGACTGTCCCTGTGTAGTCTCCAAAACCCGACCCTAGGCAACGTAGTCAAGGGTCGAGTTTTCGAGACTAGTCCCTGTGCAGCAGTTGAGCATCGGAACTTGAATGCTCTATTGGTGTTTCCAGCCGGAGGTTTTTGAGTGCCTTACCAAAAAATGCCAACGCTTTTAGGATTTTGTGTTATTGATTTCCTGTGGTTATCCTTGGCTTCGTGTTTTCTCTTAGCTTTTTGTGTCCACAAACTTTCACTTTACCTGCCGACTGGATGTGAGCAGTCAAAACTGTATCTATTATTCCAGGATCTAATCCGATACGGTAAAACCAAGGGACCACTGAAACGAGACCACTGGCTGCGTGTTTTTCATATCCCCAAAAGGTAATGCCTCGGCCCTTTTGAGGAAATGGGAAAACATATTTCAAATGTATTTTAAATTATTCACTTCCATATATTTACTTTATTGAGGGGACGTTTATCAGCACAATGTAATGTAACAGCTGATCAGAAGCCCAGACTTCGAATGGCCTTGGAAGACTAGAGCCCCGATTGATGATGATGATGACACTTGACTGAGTGTAGGCCACTGTTTTTAATTAAACCTCTTATTTGTAGATGGTTCTGGCACTTCTATGCAATATCTGTTGGCTGGAATGGTTTGCTTATTGTCCTGTCACTTCACATGATTGTATGGGGCCAGCAATTCCCATCATGGTTGACTGACATATTGGGATTCCTGACTACTGGTGGACCAGTGGCAGTCAGGCAAGGTAACTTTTCCAGATTTGGGATATTTTATGGTTACCTCACATTTTTGTTTTCACTCGCTGTGTTGGCACCTGGTAAGACCAACTCCTCATATTAGATTGTATGTACCTGTAGAATACTGACTCATCTTTTTTAGTTCCACAGGTGTCAGCTGTGCTGGTGCAGGTGTTGTTATGGGTCCATTCCCTTAGACGACTACTGGAGTGCCACTTGGTCAGCGTGTTCTCTGATGGGGTCATTCACATTGTTCAGTATATATTCGGCTTGGGCTACTACATTTTACTGGGACTGACAGTGCTGTGCTCGGATCCTTTGATAATTGAAGAAGGTGAGCTTTGTATTGAATTGCTTCACAATTCACATACTGCTTGATGATCGTTACTGAACAAAAATAGAAACGCAACATGTAAAGTGTTGGTCCCATGTTTCATGAGCTGAAATAAAAGATTCCAGGAATGTTCCATAAGCACAAAAAGCATATTTCTCTCAAATTGTGTGCACAAATTTGTTTACATCGCTGTTAGTGAGCATTTCTCCTTTGCCAAGATAATCCATCCACCTGACAGGTGTGGTATATCGAGAAGCTGATTAAACAGCATGATCATTACACAGGTGCACGTTTTGCTGGGGACGATAAAAGGCCACTCTCTAAAATGTGCAGTTTTGTCACACAACACAATGCCACAGATGTCTCAAGTTTTGAGGGAGCGTGCAATTGGCATGCTGACTGCAGGGATGTCCACCAGAGCTGTTGCCAGAGAATTGCATGTTCATTTCTCTACCAACGTCGTTTTAGAGAATTTGGCAGTATGTCCAACTGGCCTCACAACCGCAGACCACATGTAACCACGCCAGCACAGGACCTCCACATCCGGCTTCTTCACCAGCTGATGAAACTGAGGAGTAGTTATGTCTGGGTCTGGCTCCCCAGTGGGTGGGCCTGGCTCCCAAGTGGGTGGGCCTATGCCCTCCCAGGCCAACCCATGGCTGCGCCCCCTTGCCCAGTCGTGAAATCTATAGATTAGGGCCTAATTTATTTATTTATTTCAATTAACAGATTTCCTTATATGAACTTTAACTAAGTACAATTGTTGAAATTGTTGCATGTTGCGTTTATATATATTTTTCAGTGTATTATATGTGATTGTGATATGATTTGATATGCTGCTGATGCCAGACTGATGGTGTTGTTTTGATAGGGAGCCCTGCTCTCCCACTGCTCTCCCAGCTGAGGTGGTACCATATGGCTGGAGCTGTGCTCTTCTCCTGGGCCTCTCTGTTGCAGCATCGCTCCCTGGTCCTGCTGGCCAGACTGCGCACTGGAGGATCAGGTGAGGTCATGCAGATCAGATGTCTAAATTATTAGCTCGAAATGACTCAGAGAGAGCACACTCAGCAAATAAATGTCACTTTAACTCTACCCACATGTACATATTACTTCAACTACCTCAACTAGCCGGTGCCCCCGCACATTGACTCTGCACCGGTACCCCCCTGTATATATAGCCTCCCTACTGTTATTTTATTTTACTTCTGCTCTTTTTTTCTCAACACTTTTTTGTTGTTTTATTCTACTTTTTTTATTTAAAATAAATGCACTGTTGGTTAAGGGCTGTAAGTAAGCATTTCAGTGTAATGTCTGCACCTGTTGTATTCGGCGCATGTTGCCAATAAGATTGGATTTGATCACATTAACCCTATCAGTCCCGAGACCCCAGCAAAATATTTTATTTTATCTGACTTTCATTTATCTGCATGTCCAGCCCTTATATTTAGCATCACAATGAAGTGTTTTACCTTTTTTTTTTTTTTTGGACAACTAGGGCTACAAGTAGCAAACAAAACAATTTCACACAAACTTGCATTTATGAGTTTTATTGACAAATGTCAATAAAGAAATGTCAGCCAAAGCAGAAACCTGATAAAAAAGTTTTTTTTAGGAATGCTGTAAATACAGAAATGGTTTGTTCACTGGGAAATGAATATCCAAATAGTCAGTGACAACTGTGTGGAGTTTGTGACAGCAACTATGTGAGCTTATTACAGTTTAGACACTATGTCCTGGGATTTCCTATGATCTTCTTTGTAGAAGAACATCTTACGTTCTAACGACTCTTGTGTGGCTTGTGAGCGTCATAGAGCAAAATGTTACATGTGTGTGTTCGTGAGAGTCTCGGCTTTACATGGAAAGCTTTTAATAGTTTGTAGCTCAAACCATTCGGACTCTGCATATGTTTTTGTATAAAAGACCCGGCCCCGGGCCCCTTCGGGATCCGCCCTTGTCTCACAAACACTGCTCTAGCTCAGCCCCGGTTAATCACACAGACTACGGATGCAGAAGAAATAGACGAATCCAATGGTAAAACCCAGAAGTCTCTAGCTCACACACTATGTTTAAAAGGGGTTAGAAGTCCCAAATGTGCCGTCGATACGGTGGGACTCATTGGGTTAGCATCTTTTTAGCTTCCTCATGGATATGTGTTGCATAATTTGTATAATTTTGTTGTTGTTTTGTTGTTCTCTTTTGCAGGGACAGTAGAGACTCTAGCCCACAGGGTTCCTAGTGGAGGCTGGTTTGAGCTGGTCTCCTGTCCTCATTACTTTGCTGAGCTGCTGATCTATGTGTCTCTGGGGATTGTGTCTGGCAGTCACACTCTCACCTGGTGGTTCGTTGTCCTCTATGTGCTCTTCAACCAGGCGCTGGCTGCCCAGCTCTGTCATGAGTTTTACACAAGCAAGTTTCAGTCTTACCCACAGCATCGCAAAGCATTCCTCCCATATTTATTGTAACTGATGCATGATGTGAACTGATGCCTGATATGAATAATGTGATTTATTTTGTACAACCTATTTTGCAAGAAAAATAAATCTAAAGACATTGTTTGTTGAAATGATTGCATTGAATATCTATTTTTGAATAGAATAGATTTATAGATTTAAGAATGAACAGGACAAGATTGATAAGGACACCTTTAACAGTGGAAATAATTTGTGTACATTGGCAAGGACTGATAAGGGAGTGCTTTGGCTTCTGTATTTAAGGTGACTTAATTAAGGTGCAGGGTTTACGCCAGGCCCTAGCCCAGTTTATGCTGTCACTGACAACAGCAGCTCCACTAGATAATGAATGGCATTGGTGTCCATTTCGGCGGCTTTATACCATCAAGGGGTTCATCTTACATATCCTGAGATTGTCCCCAACTTAAAATAGCAGTAATTACATCAATAGAAAAGTCTTCCAGCATTTAATCACAGTATTTGAATTGTTTATTTGACCACTTATTACTCTACATGAAAGTTTAGCTACTATATAGTATTGTTTCATAGAGCCTCTTCCGCTCTGGCTTTATTTGCTCGTCTCCCACTATGGGTTTGCATTTGCAAGTCTCTCTAGCTTGACATTTTCCATGACATCTACAAATTGACAGTTGAAGTAGCCAATGAGAGTACTGCACGGTAGGTACGTCAGCAAATAACATACGCGTCCTCCTTTTAGCGATCCAATCACATTAGTCGTTTACTGTCTTTCAGGTAGAACGTTCACAACTTCAAAATTCCGTATGAGTTCTATCTTCAATGGTTCTATCAGTGAGGGATAGGCAAGCTTATCTACCAAGACCAACTGGCTCATTATATCGAGTGATTTATGCAGTCAGGGGCAGTGATTTAAAAAAAATTGTTTTACCCATACGCTTCTGTAAACTGCCTTTATTATCAGCATTTTAACACAATCTGCGCGCTTCGCTTTGTTAAAATGTATATCCTGGCCGGCGGAAGGGATGGAAGGGCTAACAGAAGTGTGATGTGTGTCCTGCTACCCCTGGCTGTCGCGGTGTTGTCGGCCGGAGTTTCTGCGATGCAGGAGGAACACAAACCAGTCCAAGAACAACCACCACAAGAGGTAACTAGCTAACTAGCAATCATCGATAAAATGTAATTAACCGATGTTTCGCGTGCATGCTAACGATAGCGAGCTAACTCGTTATCTAAATACCATTCCACATAACTAATAATGCTAACTAACTAGCTAGCGTCGTTAACATAGCCAGAACAAGATGATGTGTAAAGTCACCCCCCAGTATCTATTTCACTCGGTCACTTTGACCTATTTCTGGGTTCATGCTTTGGGGACATGCCATAGGTGGAAAACATGGCTAGTTGGGTTAGCCACTTACCAGCTTGCTATTTTACTGGCTGTTCTTACCTTCGAGCTCGTGTGTGGTGTTCAGTTCAGCGTTGTCCTGGTCGTTACTAGCCCTAGTCTGGAAGCTGAACTCTCATAACTACCAAGTTGTATTGTACCCCCAGTCTACGTGACTTGACTACCTGCGTCAATGAGACAGACTGTACCATTCCAATATGTGTACAGACAGACAAATTAAAACATGGTTTTCATGGCTAACTTGTTGTGGAACTGAACTGACATATTTTTTTCACCCTTCAACAGAAAACTCCTACTGCTCATGCCATTGGTTCAGAGGTCAGTGAAAATGATTCCAGCAAATCTGGTGACCTGGGCTTCATCCATGCCTTTGTTGCTGCCATCTCTGTCATCATTGTCTCTGAGCTGGGAGACAAGACTTTCTTCATCGCTGCCATCATGGCTATGCGCTACAACCGCCTCACCGTGCTGTTAGGGGCGATGCTAGCGCTTGGCTTTATGACCTGCCTTTCAGGTTGGTGGATGGATGGGATGTTTGGCTCCTGATGGTTGGGGTAGATATTACCTTTTTAAGTTTGTTAATGTATCCCAATTAGTGGAGGTACCATATGCAGATGCATCCTGGGTTTGTCTGAATGTTTGGTTCTGTACAGTCTGTCCTTTGTCTTACTAAGTCCCTCTTGTGTTTTGTCAGTGATGTTTGGCTATGCCACCACCATTATCCCCAGGATTTACACATACTACGTGTCCACGGCTCTGTTTGCCATCTTTGGTGTGCGCATGCTGAGAGAGGGGCTGAAGATGAGTCCAGACGAGGGTCAGGAGGAGCTGGAGGAGGTACAGGCTGAGATTAAAAAGAAGGATGAGGAGGTCTGTACAAACACACACACTGCCCACACCTACATTTACATATTGTTTTCATATTACCCTGCTGTAACTCTTGGTCTAGGGTTTCATTGTTTGGTTTGTATTCCTATTTCCTATAGCTCCAGCGGTCTAAGCTGGTGAATGGGGCTCCAGATGTGGAGTTGGGTTCAGGGTCAAACCATCCTCATGGGAAATGGCACAGCTTCATCTCGCCTGTGTTCATCCAGGCCTTCACCCTCACCTTCCTTGCAGAGTGGGGAGACCGCTCTCAGCTGACCACCATCATCTTGGCTGCCCGGGAGGTGAGTCCTGACAGACCCACTATGGAGTCTGAGTCTGCTTTCCTAGTAAAATGGCACATGCTGGCAAATGTTACACTGAAATCAAGCCAAGGCTAAAATGCTGAGGTGTGGCTGCAAAGCATTCATTGTGGATCTGTCGGAGTTCATGATTAAGGTCAGGATATAGGGTTGCAGTGTACGTGTAATATACTCAAAGGGAATTATATTGTTAGGGAATGATTGTTGTTCATTTTTGCTACTGCACTGTGATACTTGTTGGTTCTGTGAGAGGGTTAAAGGTGTCATAAACAAATGCTCTGTCTCAGGATCCTTTTGGAGTGGCGGTGGGTGGTACTCTGGGACACTGTCTGTGCACAGGACTGGCTGTGGTTGGAGGAAGGATGATTGCACAGAAGATCTCTGTCAGAACTGGTGATATATTTTATATATATATGTTCCCGTTTAAGTGGCCATAGCCTAAACCAGGGCTCTCCAACCCTGTTCCTGGAGAGCTACCGTCCTGTAGGTTTTCGCTTCAACCCTAATCTAGCGCACCTGACTCTAATAATTAGCAGGTTGATTAGATTAATCAGAAGTTACAACTGGGTTTGGAGCGAAAACCTACAGGAGGGTAGCTCTCAAGGAACAGGGTTGGAGAGCCCTGGCCTATACTGTAATGAATGTAGCTAGTAGTCATTGTAATTGTGTTATGGACCCCTATGTTTTCTCCTCCTCAGTTACAATCATTGGTGGGATCATGTTCCTGGCCTTTGCATTCTCTGCCCTCTTCGTCAAGCCAGATGCTGGAATCTGATTGGAGTGAAGACATTCAGGCAAATTTTGTACATACCTGTAAAGCTCAACTATGTGTATAGAGAGGCTGTACTCTTGACCGTGTGTATGACCGAGTTGTACTGTACTCTCATGGTGTGGGTGAATGTGTGTGTGTGTGAGAAATATGGAGAATATTCTCTAATGGGACTCTAATTGGTGAGTGTGTCTGTGTGAATGTTGCCCTCTTGTCTTACTGAGTCTTTGATCCCTCACCAGTCTGAATCTTGTGGCTTACAAACAGAACAAGACTTCCCTCTCCCTCAGGCCCGTCAGTACTGAGCTTGGGTCTGTTTATTCATTCGTCCCCATCCTTGGTTATTATATTATGATTTAAGAGCAGCTCGTTCTTTCACTGAGTGCATGGAATCTCCCCTCTTCAGCATGAGCTCAGTGTTATTGAGCAGCCAAGTCACTGCTGGTTGAATGCTGACTCAAGGGCAGTCCCATGGAGGGCAGTGTTGGGATCACTGTGGAGAGACGCAGTCCCTCTGCTCAATGGCCAGGCCTCAGGTCAACTCCCATATATTTTGTTCCCTTCAGAATGTCATCTGAGAACAGAACATAGGGCTGCCTTAGCGACATAACCCACATAATGAGGAGACTTACCATTTTCCAGATGTATCAGTGATAAGTATATTACTGTTGGGTGATTTCCATCTGATTGATAGACAACACATGCCAGTTGTAAGCATCATTGGGATCTTGAAGCAGAAGTAACCCATTCAGTATTGTCTACATTCCGGCCTTGTAGTAGCGGGGGGGGTGGGGGGACACGTCCACCGGCCAGTCTGTCCGTTGTCTACAACTCAAATTACTACAACGGTTTATAAAAAGGTTGTGTGAGGCCTACTGATGAAGAAATCATGGTACTAAATACTTCATAGCTTCCTCCTAAATTTCACTGCCTTGTTTTGAGACCTGAGCCATTGTCTACTACACCTTTCCTGAAAAGTGGTTGGTTATGGTATTTATTTACAACTTTGGAGCGGAGAGATTGTTAATGTTAACCGTTTTGGGGTTTGTTTTTTAGCTGAAGTACTGTACACAATAAATTTTTAAAAAGTGCACAGGGAAATGTCACTACATTGTCAATATTTGACTAGTTTTACCCTGTGATGACCGACCAAGCGTGTACATGTACGCTGTTTGCGATATAGATGGACTTGATTGTTAAAGCCTGATTTAATGTAAATACTCAATAAAACCTGTCATGCCTAGACTGGTTTCTTACCTTACATTCTTGTCTAGCCCCTACATTTTATGCAGTGACTAACTTATCCTGGATATGAGTGATTGCAGCAAATTGCAAGAAGCAGGTTTCTAACCTGACAATTGATGCCTGCCTTCTGGTTTATCCATCACAAGTGAATGTCCAAAACGAGGGATTTCTCAAAAAACAAACATTTATTTAAAAATTGAATAAGGGGCGCAAAAAGCACTGCTTGCTTTAAAAGGTTCCATTATGTTTAGTTTATGTAAGAATGGTCTGGCTCTAGAAATTAATTTATAGCAGCGAACTTTGCAGTGATATTACAGCACTATTAAAATGCAAAATGCCTTCAGAATGTCTCAGGTTGTGTGAATACCCTAACTTACCTATGCTGCAGGGCATGGTTAGCACCATTGAAATAGAAGGAGCAGAACGGACATTAAAATGCACTTTTCATTTTCGGGATATAAATCTGGCCACTGTAGTAGTCTTAATATGGGTACTCTGAGAACAATTCAATGTATCATGTTGGTCCATTCCACTGATTTCTGGGCACCCACAACGATCAATGTGTTTGAACTTTGTGTTCACCTGATAGTGTCACAGAACTAGAGAGGTTGTGAAAGGCATTGAACTACAAACTGTCCATTCTACTTCTTCTAAAAGTATGTAATTATGGGTCAAGAACAATTGATGTAAAAAGTGGAACACAGCCCTAGGTTATGACTCAATTGTGCAATAATGCCAAGATAAACTATTTCAGTTTCAGGTGCTTTTTGGAAAGTGTACTGAACAGATTAATTTCATGAGCCAAACAAGTGTTCTGCAAAGAACGCCACACATACAAAGATTAAATGATAGCAGAGAGAACACTGATAGACATTCAGAACTTCTAGTGCGTACATCAGAACTACAGAACATTAAACATGATTCACCACCTTTTACATTGGGCTTTCCATCTGGGTATTAAAAACAAGTATAACAATTTAGTATTCCCATCTTTCTCTTTGGATACAAAGCATCTTTACCACCCCTTCCCTCCATTTTCCCCACCCCACATCTTGCATATGGTCTGGGTTGAATTACCTTGTAGCCTTTTGAGATACAACATAGGAGATCCCTACTTTGATACTTTAGGTAAACGTGAATAATAAGTCTTATGGGTAATTTGTGAAAAAGGAACATCAACTTGGTCATCCTAGAGATGATCCAATATATTAATCTAGCATTCCTCTCATAGCACATTGAGAGAATTCATAAGATTTATTTGGCAATTGAAATCAATTACATGGGGGGGATATACAGTATATGCTATTAAACAAGGATTTCTTTCAACATTTCAATACACCTTTGCATAACCATGAGCTAATGATGAGTCCTTATCAAGGAGCTCAAAGTGCCGATTCTGTTTTGGGGAAATTAGATCAATAGTTCTTACGCGTGTCACAGTTTGTTTAATTCCTTTCTCATTTGAAGAAAATCATTAGGTAGATGTTTTTTCTGGTTTGCTTTCCCTTTCTACACCATGATGGCAGTATATTACAGTGTATGACATTACATATCTACTTTAGCTCTATTAATCTTTTGAGGTCTAGCTTGGCCATAGAAAAATAATCTTAAAATCTGAGGTTTGTGTTCTGTTAAAACACTCTTAAATTCTTTACACATACCAGTTTTTACACAGCTATGTTAGTGTTTGATATTAAATTACATTCATTCAAGTATTGTACTGCCTGACCTACTAATGGTAGCTGTAAGGTTTATCACGCCATAGGTGGCGCACGTTTACTTTGTGTTAATAAAAAAGCAGCATAAAATCAGTGACCAACCAACTATTAAGTAAGAGCCACATATACCGTTTCTATACAACTTGTTGAATAATCTGTGTTGATATGCATTACTGGCAATACAATAACTTTGTGGTTATAAGTACCGACTTTGTTCTACTGTACAGGGCAATGAACCACCAATAGCCTAGCAGCAGGGACCACCATTCGCACTAAGCGTGAGTAGTGACTAGCAGGCTTTGTGTGACTTATTGTACTTGTGAACACAAGGGCCTGGGACAGTTTTGCCATGAGGTACTGCAACATGAACATGGATTGGACCAGCCAGCCTTGTGAGAGACCGGAGCAGGAAATGACCCCTAGAGGGCCCAGACATTCTACAGTGTTGCGCTGTGATACCAGAGAGATTTGATATGAAATATGTGGTTTGTCAACTTCCACCAATAAAAAAGTGAAACTTAATGCAGGTTTCACACAATCCTTCTCAAGAAAACGATGGCCAATGATGAAGAATATTAAATATTATACACTGAACAAAAATATACAACGCAACATGCAACAATTTCAAAGATTTTACTGAGTTAAAGTTCATATAAGGAAATCAGTCAATTTAAATAAATTCATTAGGCCCTAATCTATGGATTTCACATGACTGGGAATACAGAAACGCTTCTGTTGGTCACAGATACCTTTAAAAAAGAAATTGCAGCGTGGATCAGAAAACCAGTGAGCACCATTTGCCTCATGCAGCACAACACCTCTCCTTCATATTTTGATCAGGCTGTTGATTGTGGCCTGTGGAATGTTGTCCCATTTCTCTTCAATGGCTGTGCAAAGTTAATGGATATTGGCGGTAACTGGAACACGCTGTCGTACACGTCGATCCAGAGCATCCCAAACTTGCTCAATGGGTGACATGTCTGGTGAGTATGCAGGCCATGGAAGAACTGGGCCATTTTCAGCGTCCAGGAATTGTGTACATATCTTTGCGACATAGGGCCATGTATTATCATGCTGAACCATGAGGTGATGGCAGCAGATGAACGGCACAACAATGGGCCTCAGCATCTCGTCACAGTATCTCTGTGCATTCAAATTGCCATTGATAAAATGCAACTGTGTTTGTTGTCCTTAGCTTATGCCTGCCCGTAACCAAAACCCCACCGCCACCATGGGGCACTGTTCACAACATTGACATCAGCAAACCGCTCACCCACACAACGCTGCCATCTGCCATCTGCCCGGTACAGTCGAAACCGAGATTAATCTGTGAAGAGCACATTTCTCCAGCGTGCCAGTAGCCATCGAAGGTAAGCATTTATCCACTGAAGTCAGTTACGACGCCAAACTGCAGTCAGGTCAATACTCTGGTGAGGACAACGAGCGTGCAGATGAGCTTCCCTGAGACGGTTTCTGACAGTTTGTGCAGAAATTCTTTGGTTGTGCAAACCCACAGTTTAATCAGCTGTCCAGGTGGCTGGTCTCAGATGATCCCGCAGGTGAAGAAGCCGGATGTGGAGGTCCTGGGCTGGCGTGGTCTGCGTTTGTGAGGCCGGTTGGACGTACTGCCAAATTCTGTAAAACAACATTGGAGGTGGCTTATGGTAGAGAAATTAACATTAAATTCTCTGGCAACAGCTTTGGTGGACATTCTTGCAGTCAGCATGACAATTGCGCACTCCGTCAAAACTTGAGACATCTGTGGCATTGTGTTGTGTGAAAAAACGGCATATTTTAGAGTGGCCTTTTATTGTCCCCAGCACAAGGTGCACCTATGTAATGCTCATGCTGTTTAATCAGCTTCTTGATATGCCACGTCAGGTGGATGGATTATCTTGGCAAAGGAGAAATGCTCACTAACAGGGATGTAAACAAATTTGTGCACAAAATCTGAGAGATAAGCTTTTGTGTGTATGGAACATTTATGGGATCTTTTATTTCAGCACATGAAACATGGGACCAACACTTAAAATGTTGTGTTTATATTTTTGTTCAGTATATAATAAATGTTTTATAGAGATGAAATTAACTGACCGGGTCCCTGACCATGCTACTCTAAGTGAACATTCATGACGACTACTACTAAAGTGCCATTCTGCAGAGGCCCCTGACAAGAAACGAGCAACTGGGAAAACCAGAGGCTCGATCCCCAAGAACCTCACTCGACTTCATTTACCATAGAAACCTGGAAATCCACTATGGAAGTTAATATGGCAACATACAGTACAACCAGTCCATAGGACCCCACTCAACAAGTCGTTTTAAATTCACCATGGCACGACAATCAAACCATCACCTTATAACCTTCCAACACAGTTACATGGGGATATTTACTGCCTGACAGGAGGAGCAGAGCAGAGGAGCAGAAAAACTTCAAACAGACATCTGTTTTCCGTATTTGTTTCAATCCATTCTTTTGGCAGGTCCAACTAACGCCAGTTTCACTTGTTTCAGAGGTAATTTGCATTCTTGGATCAAATAGCCTCAGCATTTTCTCTTCTTGTCTGTACTGGGCCTAGCCTACACCTTAAGGAGGCATTTCCAGTAGTGTAGTTTGTCTTCTCCATTCGAACAACTGAGAAGAAGTGAAGAGTACTGTTTGTAGGGGGTTCTTAATGTTAGAGATGTCAGTAGCCAGAGTTTCAATAAGTGCTATACGTTTACTTTAATGAATGACCGCAGTAAGTCAGATTAGCAGTTTAATGTCTTGATTAAGACAGCAACCCCCCACAGTGTAATACTTCCATCACTGGCTTCAGACAAACATACAAAATTACTTCACGAACACATGAAGATGAACTCGGATCACAACAATTGCTAGCGGCATTCTGTCCAAACACCTATTTGATGAGATCCACCTTCATTACATTTCTCCTCTAAAGAGGACAAATATCAATAATTTGTTTGCTTTGACCCATAAAAAGCTTCCTTGGAGATCAAGGTCATAAACATGCTGTAGTTGCTGGTTGTAAGTGACAGGAGAAAGTATGGCCATAAGAGGATGCATTCATTCATAGAACAGACACAAAGGATTCAGTATTCATTCCATTTCTAACAGAGCTAATATGTGACAATGTGTGGAAATATCACTGTCGTGAATTGCATTTCTTAGTTTAAGGTAATGTTTGTGAACATTTAAAACGTCATTGAATATATAATTTTTCTATAAGAATACTTATATTTTTCTACACATTAAGCCTTCAGGGCTAAAATAACTACAGTATTGTAAAGCATTATGACTTGGCCATTGTGTAGTCTGTACCTAGAGGTACTATTCATGCATCACTATGAGCATTATGTGACCACTCTTTAAAACATTCATAATGCCTCAGGTTTAAATAAACTAAAAAATGCTTATGAATAGCTTTTGGCATGAGGCATTATGGCAGAGTAAAGAATGAACTCATAAGGTTTCCATAGGATTCATTTAAAGTCTATTTGGTCTACTGTGGGTCTTTGCTTTATTAACTGTTTAAAATATTGTTTTGAGTAAGATTGTGTCTATTTAGAGTCCCCAACATGTTGCTTTGGACCGCAATGTATATTCAAAAAAATATATTGTTTTCTTTACCAAGACTTCGAAAGTGAGGAAGAGGATGAAACAAACTGTGACACGACCAGCAGCATCAGCGGTGTCCGCTACGCAGACACACCCCCCCGAGAAGAAGGAAGTCTGTGAAAAGATCTGCCATTAAGCGTGTTAGGTTTGCTTTCTTTCATAGAGTCCTAGATAAAAAATATATATTCAAAGCTACAAATAACAGACAACGCTTTTCATTTCATGCATCATATAAAATATGAGTTCTCTTTTTGTCCATATATTTACATATTATTTTACATGTGTTCTGTACCATAAAAGTACAATCCACATGACATTCTTAAAAATATTTTCTGACCCATAATTACTTTAACATGAAAAAACTAAAATAGGGGGAAAAACAATACACACGAGGAATCTCTGCTGTCTGTTCCGTAGGACTTCTTTGAAGCCTGGATTGAAGCTCCAGTGGGTCGACTGGATCATCCTGCATAAATTAATCCTGTGAGGGTGACCGGAGCACACACTGAACACACAAGAAGAGGGCAGGGGAGGGGACAAACACTGGCGGGACCAGGGTTTCCTCCCCCTGTCACCGTGGTGAGGGGACCTCAGTTCTGAGCATGGCCGTGAGGCAGAGCGACCCTGTGCTCACTGCATCAACAGAGCATTGTTTTCTCTCAGAAGCGCCAATCGTTCACAAGTTCTATTGATCCACCCATCCATCCATCCACTATACCTCTTCACCCCCCCCACACAAACACAGAGACCTTGGCTTGGTTCAGTCCACATGTCTAATTGGCTGTTGCCAGGTTACTGAGGCTGTGTGCTGGAGCGGCCTGACATGCTACCTGCCCTGTGAGAGGCCAGCTGCAGTTCCTGTTGCTGCTGCTGCTGTTGTTGGAGTTGTTGTTGCTGTTGTTGTTGCTGCTGCTGGAGCTGTTGCTGCTGCTGCTGATGTTGCTGTTGTAGCTGTTGTTGTTGTTGCTGCTGCTGCAGATGCGTGGTGGCGAAAGCGCCTTGCTGCTGCAGTGGGAACGCCGCCTGCAGGATCAACTGGGTGGACTGGTTTCCATGGAGCAGCCGAGGGCCCTAGAGAGGGAAAACAGAGAGGTGAGTGGGTGGGAAAAGTACTTGATCTACCTTTACAGACGGTACTCTCTATTGGTCACCTCACCTGGAGGAACTGTGTTTGTTGCTGGGCCAGCTGGGCCTGTCCGTGCTGTGTGGCTAAGGCCTGAGACTGAGCCTGCGTCTGCTGCTCCTGCTGCTGAGGCTGCTGCTGGGCGATGCTGATGGTCTGAGTCTGGCCCTGCTGAGGAGCGAACGCCGTCACCACCTGGCCCATGAACATGGTCGTAGGGACCATGACCGCTCCACACGCCATCGGACCAGTCACCAGCTTAGTCAGCAACTGAGAGCCAGCAGGGAACCTGAGAGAGATGAGGGAGAGAGGGTGGAAATAAATGATCAACAGATAACAACCAGACACGTACACACAAAAAATGTATGCAAATCCCTTGAATAATCATTATAGTTCTCAGCAACACCAGCCGCGGAGTGTGGAGCATGCTGAGTGAGAGGAGAACATACCCTGTTGGTGGCATCATGTACCTGATCTGTCCCGAGCGGTCCTGGGCAAAGGTTGCCACAGTAGCTGTGTTGTTGCTGCTGTTCTGGGCCAGGCTGTTGGCGATCTGGACCACATTGGCCTGGTTGGGCTGAGAGATCATCATGGTGTTGTAGAGGGAGGCCGGCAGGGCACTCTGCTGGGGCGGCAGAGAGTGAGTCGACCGCACTGAAGACTGTGAGAGGACAGAGCTGGTGTCTCGTAGCAGGTTCTGTTGTTGAGGCTGGGCCTGCTGCTGAGGTTGCTGTTGAACTGTGTGCTGCTGCTGAGTACTGCCCTGCAGGCTGCCTGCAGACACCACCTGGCCCTGCATGGTGAGAGCGCCCCCTGGCTGCATGGTGGTCCCCTGGGCCAGCTGCACAGAGCCCAGGCTCAGCCCACCTGCACCAGGCTGGAGGAACATCTGCACCAGAGCAAATACCACAGAGTAAGACTCATCTTCTCGCATAGACAAACACAGGCATAATGACACATGCATGCATCCACACAAATGTAAGCAGACATTTTGGTTCAAGTACTCAAACATTCAGTCACTAAACCCTTTCCCAGTTCTACATAAGAGGGCCATGGTTAGTATATGGGGCCCTTATAGTGCTGTTCCCCAGACAGACAGCAGGGGGCAGTGCTAACCTGTAGGCCCTGGCCCTGCACCTTCTGGAGCTCCTCCTGGATCTGCCTGAGCTCTTGCTGCTGCCTCTGGATGTTGGCCTCGATCATCCTGGTCCTCTGCTCCAGCTGATCCTTCAGGTGCTGCATGGCATCCAGCTGGGTGGAGAACTGTACCATTGGCTAACAAAGTTGAAAATAAGGGATGTTTGTGGACGGCTCATTATAATTGAACATTTCTGTCACTGACACTAGGAAAATAAACTGCCAAATTACCGTCCTGAGGGAGATTTCTCACCTGGACACTGGGCTGGATCTGCAGCTGCTGTTGTGGTGGTTGCTGCTGTTGCCGTTGTGGTTGTTGTTGCTGCTGCTTCTGCTGTTGTTGCTGCTGTTGTTGTTGTGAAACTATGGACGGGGCCATGTTCTGCCCTGTATTCTGGGTGTGCTGGGAGCTCATCGATTGCTGTTGGAGACAAACACAGGAACTACATTAGGAACCAAATCACTATCAAATTTAGAGATGCGGTGACCACAAGCTGAAGAAAGCCCACACTGACCTGACTGCTGACGGACGACCTTCGCTGTGATGTCATCTCAATAGCAGAGACAGACTGGCAACCCGGTGTACCCCCGTCTGTCTTTAGCTTAGGTGCTGAGGAGGAAAAAACAAACACCTTACTATTAGGATCAAAGTAGCTCTCAGAACGGATGAGAAAATATTAGACGAGATGGATGTAGTGAAGTCATGTGGTCAGTGCTTACAGGCTGGGTTGGAGACGGCGGTGTGGGACGAGGACTTGCGGGAGCTGCGTGAGGAAGCGGAGGGTGTGCGGCTGCGGTCAAATCGCTCCAGGGCCTCCTTCAGGCTGGAGGTGTTGAGCTGGTGTTGAGACTCAGAACCAGAGTCCTGAGATGGAGAGAGCAGAGAGAGAACAGTCAGCAGAGACTCACTACTACAACTCCCAAACCTTGTTAGGAGACTTTGGAAATACATCATTCCTTCCTCCCTTGCATGAGGTAATCACTGATCTAACACAGTTGGATAGGTGAAAACAAAATGTTTTTATATATTTTTTCATTTGTATATTTAGCTCACATAATATAATTTAAAAGTATGCATTAAGTGTCTGTAATAGAATAAATGTGGCAAAAACAAATGTAGACATTAATAAAGGCATTTCTATAGCTTGCTAAATATTTTTTACAATGGTGGGGTAGTGCCAAGATGGAGGCAAGGTGGCTTCAACACAGCGCCTCCTATCAGTCATCTAGTGTATATATAAATAATTGGTCACAACCTCTCCAGCAGTAGGAGTTGATGCCTTCACACAGCACACTCGAGCTGTCCAGAGCAAAATAAAGTGCCCATCAATCTACACTCTGAGCTTATTTATTTTAGGTAAAGTAATTTACAAAAGTACACTTTCAATAGTGAACATACAAGCAATATGCTGGCTACTGTTGATAGTCTGCAAAAGAAAGCTACAAAAAGACACTAGCATTCATCTTGACTAGCCTACTGTAGCCATTTTGATCTCTCTTTTGGAACGTTTGTCTTAAAGGGGCAGCTTCCTATTTTCAAATATTCTCAAAATGACATAGTTTAGAAACAAATGAATGCAATTAATACAACGCAATTCTAAAGAATAGAGTAATGACTTGCATTGCTAAATTATATTACACAGCTTTTTAATACATATCATAATAACCATATGTAGCCTATTAATAGCTGAATATAGAAAGAAAGCATGCCAACCTATAGGCCAATGCATTTAAGAACTACACCATGTCCGGGCCAGTAGAAATTCTGTTCAGGCCAGTAGATTCTTGGCCAACTAGCCCGACCAGGCCAGTGAAAAAAAAATGGAACGTTGGACCCTGCAGTGTTTCATACGTAGCCACAAAGTGGTGGCGTATAGGCTATTTACTGTGCTTTGATTGACGAACAGCAAGCTTGACTAGTTTATAAAAGGTGCCGAACAGACTGAACGAAGTCGACCTCATATTTCCTTGCCATTCATAAATCATACAACGTAGTTATATGTTCATGGTATCGCATCCGGACAAGTAAACTAAAAATCTTGTTTGTATTTTCGATAAGAAGTCCATCAGGATTTGCCAGACAGTGACGTTAAAGTGAGTGACTTGTCAGTAGCCTACCGAAATGCATCGGTAAGAGAGCTGTTCATTTCGCTCCCTAATTTGCATACTGGTAGGCTTTTTGACGATTATCTGCAGATAAATTGTGAAAACATTTGATGAAGATGGTGAAACCTCCTCACTGCAGGAACAATAGGTGGTCCAAAATATGATAAAAGCAAACAGATTGAATTGTTTTAAAAGCTAATGATACTTATATTGTATTTTCAAAGATATTGACATAGGTCTTCCGATTTAATCAGTGTTGACAATGGAGTAGTCAACTGCTGCTTTCTGTGTAGCAAAGGAGTGTTTAACACTGGCACTCTTGGCATTCTCTCAACCAGCTTCATGAGGTATGCTTTTCCAACAGTCTTGAAGGAGTTCCCACATATGCTGAGCACTTGTTGGCTGCTTTTCCTTCACTCTGCGGTCCAACTCATCCCAAACCATATCAATTGAGTTGAGGTTGGCTGATTGTGGAGGCCAGGTCATCTGATGCAGCACTCCATCACTCTCCTTGGTCAAATAGCCCTTACACAGCCTGGATGTGTGTTTTGGGTTATTGTCCTGTTGAAAAATAAATGATAGTCCCACTAAGCGCAAACCAGATGGGATGGCGTATAGCTGCAGAATGCTGTGGTAGCCATGCTGGTTAAGTGTGCCTTGAATTCTAAATAACTCACCGACATTGTCACCAGCAAAGCACCCCCACACCATCACACCTCCTCCTCCATGCTTCATGGTGGGAACCACACATGCAGAGATCATCAATTCACCTACTCTGCGTCTCACAAAGACACAGCGGTTGGAACCAAAAATCACAAATTTGGACTCATCAGACCAAAGGACAGATTTCCACCGGTTTAATGTCCATTGCTCGTGTTTCTTGGCCCAAGCAAGTCTTTTCTTATTATTGGTGTCCTTTAGTAGTGGTTTGTTTGCAGCAATTCGTCCATGAAGGCCTGATTCACGCAGCCTCCTCTGAACAGTTGATGTTGAGATGTGTCTGTTACTTGAACTCTGTGAAGCATTTATTTGGGCTGCAATCTGAGGTGCAGTTAACTCTAATGAACTTATCCTCTGCAGCAGAGGTAACTCTGGGTCTTCCTTTCCTGTGGCGGTCCTCATGAGAGCCAGTTTCATCATAGCATTTGACGGTTTTTGCGACTGCACTTGAAAAAACTTTCAAAGTTCTTGAAATTTTCCGGATTGACTGACCTTCATGTCTTAAAGTAATGATGGACTGTCGTTTCTCTTTGCTTATTTGAGCTGTTCTTGCCATAATATGGACTTTTCACCAAATAGGGCTATCTTTTGTATACCACCCCTACCTTGTCACAACACAACTGATTGGCTCAAATGAATTAAGGAAAGAAATTCTACAAATTAACTTTTAAGAAGGCACACCTGTTAATTGAAATGCATTCCAGGTGACTACCTCATGAAGCTGGTTGAGAGAATGACAAGTGTGCAAAGCTGTCTAACACTTTTTTGGTTACTACATGATTCCATATGTGTTATTTCATAGTTTTGCTGTCTTCACTATTATTCTATAATGTAGAAAATAGTAAAAAAAAAAAAAAAAAAAAATGGAATGAGTAGGTGTGTCCAAACATTTGACTAGTACTGTATATATATTTTTTCTTTATCAGTGTTATTTCCTGATAGTTGCTGGTTGAAGAAACAATAGCATTAAAATGTACCAGAGGCCAACCAAAATAGAGCTTGTAAGGCAAAAAAATAATATCTTAACACCCCCACCCCAGCCCGGGGGAGCCTGGTTGACTATTTTTCTACTTGGCTGGCTACTTCATGTGCTTGTGGAAAACACTGGTCACAGACATCTTATCCTTTAAGCTGAACAAGACCTCATTAACCAAACTCAGCCCCCTCTTTATCCCCTGAACTCAGTGATTTCTCATGCTCAGCAGTCGGCGAGACGAGCTCTCACGTCAGTCTCATAAATGTCTCACCTTATCTACCGCAAAGATTTCTGGTGGCGACTCCTCAACAATCCCCAGCTCCCTGCGCTGTTCAGCCCTCACCTCAGCATAGCTGCAACACAACAGAGAAAGAGGGGTATGAACGTCATAACACAATGCCTGATGGTGTGTCTGTGATAGAGTGATCAGGGAATAAATGCAATACTACTGGTTATCCATTGTATAACATACATACTTCTTGTGACATATTCATATGAATATCATTATTAGTGATTGGCCAATCTATACCTGACGACAGTGTGCGTGCAGACGATGAACTCGGGCCTTGAGTTCCACTGGTGGTAGGTGATGTAGTAATGAGTCTGGAGCCAGATCCACTGCTGCCCTTTGGTGAGAAACCTGTAGTAGCACGACTTCCCCTTCCCGTACTGCATTACTGCAGAAGAGAGAGAGAGGAGTGAACTGATGTCACAGGTGGACATGGGACAGGAAAACACAAACACACTCATAAAATGTGCACTTATATCAAATACACAAATGTGACAGAAATTGACTCACAGTGTCCATGGCATTTGGCCAGTGACTCCAGGTCATCCACGTGGTAGTAGTCATACCCAGATGTACCCAGAACCTCAAACGGCAGGTAACCTATTATGGGTGGAGCCCTGGGGAGGTAACACAATATTATTAAATATGACAGCACAACCCATTCAAATATAATAATATATTGTTTCTCACCCTGTAAAGCAGTGATAATAACACATCAAAAACACACAAAGCAATGCATTACCCTCTGGACATGGTTTCTACAGAGGACAGTATAATAAAGGTATTCAGTGGCAGTGAAACACTAAGTACTCTATCTAGTGTTGTTGCTCCCAAACGGTTGAGACTCAGAGCTGTCCCCTCTAGAGAGCAAGCTGACTGACTGGCCCAGAGACAGAACACAGCAGCCAGCTAATTTGATTTGAGCTGAACCAAACACTCTCACTGTGATTGTGTTCTTACTGCTGTGTGCCTAGTCTCAAACAGCTAGAGGCTAACTCTCTAACATGACATAGGCAAGTAAACACACACACAGACATGGCTATAGACAGCCTGACAGCACACATTACCTGTGGTCCAAGAAGAGGAACTTCCATTCTAAGCTGTGTCTGGAGGTGAATTCTTCATTGGGTTCTTCCACAGTGCACATCTCCTGTGGGTGAGTGAGGAAAAACTAGATGTTTACTTCTTATACAAAGGAAATAATTTACAGAGCTGTCACTAAGGAAACCTTACAGTACAACATTAGACATACATGGTTACCTAGCTACCTAAATATGCAGTCTGTGATCTACTGTATAAGTGTCTTACCTTAATAAACTGTGGTTTAGCTAATCTCACAGTTGCTATGAAACAGACTCGGTCCTCAAAAGCGGGCCGGAGTGAATGCTGAATCACCCCTTCCAAGCCGTTTCGAGTTGAGTTAGGCACTTTGGGAGAAAGGAGAGAAAATAGAAATGTGGACAGACCAAAAGGCAACAGTTACTAAGTGCATTTATGGTCACAAACTAAGTACAGACCAGCTACAATATAAAATAAAACTCACCATTATTCAGGGCCTTGAAGTTTCCGATGAACTTGACGTACTCGTACACAGGGGGCGCTTTAGGGTCGATCGTCCCTCGGAGCATGTGGCAACAGAATTCTAACTGGTTTTTAGCTGAAAACAAATGAATTATATAATAAAACCGTACAAATAATAAACTCAGGGGTACATCTAATTCTGAAACAAATTATCTGCTTAATCTGTGGCCAAAGAAACTTGACATGGACCATTTAGGCAACTGCGGCCCGTGGATCAATTTCCAACAAAACAAAAGTCTGGGTCTCAATGTACTGTTGAGGTGCAATTTACCTTTTATTTTTATTTTCGCACAGTCTCTATGCACACTCACAGGGCCCTACACACTCACACACACACTCACTCTTCTCACTCACACATAATATGCACCAGTGAAGGCTCCTCAGAGGAGGAAGGGGAGGACCATCCTCCTCAGTGAATTTCATAAAAATCAAAATGGTAAAACATGAAAATAGTTCTCATTTTTAGATACAATTATACTAAATATATTCACGTCACCAAATAATTGATTAAAACACACTGTTTTGCAATGAAGCAAAACAAGCATTTCGCTACACTCGCAATAACATCTGCTAACCATGTGTATGTGACCAATACATTTGATTTGAAGGTCTACAGTAGCCTCAACAGCACTCTGTTGGGTAGCACCATGGTGTAGCCAGAGGACAGCTAGCTTCAGTCCTCTTCTGGGTATATTTACTTCCATACAAAACCTAGGAGGCTCATGGTTCTCACCCCCTTCCATAGACTTACACATGAATTATGACAACTTCCAGAGGATGTCCTCCAACCTATCAGAGCTCTTGCAGCATGAACTGACATGTTGTCCACCCAATCAAAGGATCAGAGAATGAATCTAGTACTAAAAGCATAAGCTACAGCTAGCTAGCACTGCAGTGCATAAAATGTGGTGAGTAGTTGACTCAAAGAGAGAGAAAGACAATAGTTGAACAGTTTTGAACAAACGCATTTTTTTCTAAAATGAAGGAGAAGCAAGAGAGAGAGAGTCATTATTTTTCACTTTCAGTTTTTCTTACTTAGCTAGCAAATGCATCTAGCTAGTTTAGCCTACTCAAACACCCTGCTCAAACAGAGGGATGCTATGTTAGCTAGCTGGCTATGACTATCCAACACAACACTAGAACTCTTCCAAGTCAAGGTAAGCTTTTGGTTTTACTAATTTATTGCCACCGGGGCCCGCTGGTGTAACTGCTTACTGACTATACACTGTAACGTTACTGCATGATTGTAGCGGGTTTACTATCGCGTTAGTTATATTAGCTATGTTGACTATGACGTTACTTTAGCTAATATGGGGACAACGATGTAGGCTGTGTGTAGCGGTTATGATCTGGTTTCGAAAGTTTTTTCCGCCAGGTAACATACAGCTGATGTGTTGTGCATTGAAGTCTACAAACGAAGAGAAAAGATGAGAGGAAGAGAGCGCATAGATGTGAGAAGGAATATAACGTGGTTGCTATTAAAGTGAACTGTGTTTACACGTGATCAGGGGTGTATTCATTCTGCCGATTCTGTTGAAAAACTTTTCTTAAACGGAAGCAAGCGGAACGAGCAGGGTTAAATATACCTTAATTTGTCCAATAGAAACTCTCATTTGCAACTGTTGGACTAACGATTACACCCTAGATCAGCTAGATGCAGGCAAGAGTGTGCAAGGCGATATTGAATGTGTCACTGTCTGTCCATGTGTCACGGTCTGTCACCTAAAAAAAATCTCTCAACCTGTGTGCACCTACGTTGTAAACCTTCATTCATAGGCTAGGTTGTAGCAACCTCATGATGGGTATAGAAAAAATGTGAGTATCATGTAGTAGCCTAAACCTATCGGTGTTACATTGAACTGGGTGAATGGAATATGAATGACAGTCATCCAATATGCTGTAATAAAAATAAGGCCATGCTCATTAAAAAAATGTTTAAACGTCCTCCCTCATCATAAACGGCACTGACCGCCACTGATATGCACATACATTTATACTGACTCTACACACATGCAGGCACACCCACTCACACACAAGCTGCAGCTACTGTTTATCTTATATCCTGTTGCCTAGTCACCTTACCCCTATACATACAGTATCTACCTCCATCACTCCAGTATCCCTGCACATTGTAAATATGGTATTGGAGCTGACCCTGTATATAGTATGCTTACTTACTTACTGTGTTTTTCATATTTCTTCTTATTTCTCGTGTGTTTTTTCTAGTATTACATTGTTATTGATTATTCAATTGTTGGGTTTTGAGTTTGCTAGAAAGGCATTCAACTGTACTTGTGCATGTGACATTAAAATTTGAAACAGAAAATTAAACAATACTAAAACAGCTCCAGCACTTACTCTTGAGATACTCTGGCGTTAGGGTCTCTCCCTCCAGTATGTGAGACGACAGGGCTTTATACACGTCTGAATGTTCCCCCAGGGGCAGGAAGTTCAACAGGTTCTGATCCACCAGGTCAGACTGAAACACACACACACATGGATGTCAACCTAAGTCATGTATGTCATCCTTGGTCATGGATGTCAACCCTTAGTAATGAATAACAACAACCTTACATAGGCATTAAGTCATGTTTATGAACAGATTGAATACTCACAGGAAGATGTTCCAGTAGAGATGTAACACTCTCTGAGACATAGATTATGTTCCCATCAGTCATAATTGCTAGGAAGAAGCCGTCTAACGCCTAGCAGATACAAAACAGTTGTTAAAGCACCATCTACTTGCAATATAGAAAATTACAAAGTAAACTATGTAGAAAAAAGGGTACCATTGCACTTAACTTTTAACTTGAATAGTCCTTGGTGTGTTAAACCAATAAGCAATGAAGTCCAAAAAACAAAGGGTGGTTTGCACACAAGCATTTACAGTTGAAGTCGGAAGTTTACATACACCTTAGCCAAATACATTTAAACTCAGTTTTTCACAATTCCTGACATTTAATCATAGTAAAAATTCCCTGTCTTAGGTCAGTTAGGATCACCACTTTATTTTCAGAATGTGAAATGTCACAATAATACTAGAGAGAATGATTTATTTCAGCTTTTATTTCTTTCATCACATTTCCAGTGGGTCAGAAGTTTACATACCCTCAATTAGTATTTGGTAGCATTGCCTTTAAATTGTTTAACTTGGGTCAAACGTTTCAGGTAGCCTTCCACAAGCTTCCCACAATAAGTTGGGTGAATTTTGGCCCATTCCTCCTGACAGAGCTGGTGTAACTGAGTCAGGTTTGTAGGCCTCCTTGCTCACAGACACTTTTTCAGTTCTGCCCACAAATGTTCTATAAGATTAAGGTCAATGCTTTGTGATGGCCACTCCAATACCTTGACTTTGTTGTCCTTAAGCCATTTTGCCACAACTTTGGAAGTATGCTTGGGGTCATTGTCCATTTGGAAGACCCATTTGCGACCTAGCTTTAACTTCCTGACTGATGTCTTGAGATGTTGCTTCAATATATCCACATAATTTTCCTTCCTCATGATGCCATCTATTTTGTGAAGTGCACCAGTCCCTCCTGCAGCAAAGCACCCCCACAGCATGATGCTGCCACCCCCGTGCTCCACGGTTGGGATGGTGTTCTTCGGCTTGCAAGCTTCCCCCATTTTCCTCCAAACATAACGATGGTCATTATGGCCAAACAGTTCTATTTTTGTTTCATCAGACCAGAGGACATTTCTCCAAAAAGTAAGATATTTGTCCCCATGTGCAGTTGCAAACCGTAGTCTAGCTTTTTTATGGCGGTTTTGGAGCAGTGGCTTCTTCCTTGCTGAGCGGCCTTTCAGGTTATGTCAATATAGGACTCGTTTTACTGTGGATATAGATACTTTTGTACCTGTTTCCTCCAGCATCTTCACAAGGTCCTTTGCTGTTGTTCTGGGATTGATTTGCAATCTGTTTGTAAACAATAAGTAAGTAGATGTCCTAACCGACTTGCCAAAACTATAGTTTGTTAACAAGAAATGTGTGGAGTGGTTGAAAAACAAGTTTTAATGACTCCAACCTAAGTGTATGTAAACTTCCGACTTCAACTGTATATAAATATTCATTTTTAGTTTTTTAACCTACAGTGTGTGGGTGGCCTCTGGACCTGTTTTAAAACTGGCTGCTTTAACCCACACACTTTTTTCTCTTGTTTACACAGCAGACAGGGGAAAAAATTCACACAGACGTTTCGTTGTCAACCTTCTTCAGTAAACTATGAACAAAAACATGTTCAGAATGTTGCTACTGCTACTGACATCCTTTTTTGACTGACATACTTTCTTTGTACACTGAACAAAAATATAAAACGCAACATGTAGTGTTGGTCCCATGTTGCATGAGCTGAAATAAAAGATCCCAGAAATGTTCCATACGCACAAAAAGCTTATTTCTCTCAAATGTGGTGCACAAATGTGTTTACATCCCTGTTAGTGAGCATTTCCCCTTTGCCAAGATAATCCATCCACCTGACAGGTGTGGCATATCAAGAAGCTGATTAAACAGCATGATTAAAGGCCACTCTAAAATGTGCAGTTTTGTCACACAATGCCACAGATGTTTCAAGTTTTGAGGGAGCGTGCAATTGGCATGCTGACTGCAGAATTTAATGTTCATATCTCTACCATAAGCCGCCTCCAAAGTCGTTTTAGAGAATTTGGCAGTACGTCCAACTGGCCTCACAACCGCAGACCATGTGTATGGCGTCGTGTGGGCGAGCGTTTTGCTGATGTCAACGTTGTGAATAGAGTGCCCCATGGTGGAGGTGGGGTTATGGTATGGGCAGGCATAAGCTATGGACAACGAACACAATTGCATTTGATCGATGGCAATTTGAATGCACAGAGATACCGTGAAGAGATTCTGGAGGCCCATTGTCGTGCCATTCATCTGCCGCCATCACCTCTAATTTCAGCATGATAATGCACGGCCCCATGTCACAAGGATCTGTACACAATTCCTGGAAGCTGAAAATGTCCCAGTTCTTCCATGGTCCGCCTACTCACCAGACATGTCACCCATTGAGCATGTTTGGGATGATCTGGATCGACGTGTACGACAGCGTGTTCCAGTTCCCGCCAATATCCAGCAACTTCGCACCGCCATTGAAGAGGAGTGGGACAACATTCCACAGGCCACAATCAACAGCCTGATCAACTTTATGCGAAGGAGATGTCGTGCTGCATGAGGAAAATGGTGGTCACACCAGCTACTGAATGGTTTTCTGATCCACGCCCCTACCTTTTGTTAAGGTATCTGTGACCAACAGATGCATATCTGTATTCCCAGTCATGTGAAATCCATAGATTAGGGCCTAATGAATTTATTTCAATTGACTGTTGCATTTATATTTTTGTTCAGTATAGATCCTACTTAGTGAAAGGATGTGCATACTACTGCACTTTGAGTGTGTCGACTGCCACTCTCACCTCCAGCATCAGCTGTGTGAACTCTTCATTGCTAAGAAAAGGAGGTTTCCAGTCCTGTCGAATCTCACTAGACTCCGACTGCGTAGCGATTTCTGACAGAGAGAGACACAAATAGGGGAATCACTAGCGTGAAGTACTCAAACAGCTTTGTTAAAACTAGGGGTTGGAACCGGTTTAGGGAACAGAACCGAAAACCGGACAAAAATGTTTTTCCGAAGAACAGAACCAGAACCGAGAACGAAAGTGATCTATCCATGGGTTGCACGTTTCATCACAATAATTGTTTTGAACATTCGTTTTAGAACAGATGCCCAGATGAGCATTCTAGTCAATACAGTCTTAATAGATGGGGAGGACGATCTCATCTCAAGTGCATTACTGTGGCTTGGAAACACAATTACATTTCAAAAGGAGGCAAATAATTAGTAGGACATGTTTTTGTCATCATTGTAATGTCGCCAGATTGACTTTAGATGCAGTATAACTTTAGCTAGCTAGCTATGATTGAGGGGAGAGCGCTGACATTTTAGCTAGCTTAAAGTTAGCATTGCTAGCTATTTCTGACTAACTTTGCTAGCACATGGCAACATTGCCATTTCTCTAAAGTAAACTTGACGACATCATAATGCCAATGTTGTTGTCTACGAATTATTTGCCTACTTTAGCAATGCCATCGTATTTCCAGGCCACTATAGTGTAATTTTGACAAAACAGTCATTAGTCCCCGTTCAGAAAGACTGAGCATTAACCATCAGTCGGATATCAATATGCTGCGGCATCTGTAGAACCTTGATAACAATGGCAATGACGTGACCGAGTGACGGAGGTGCAATCCATGAATATTGTTCCGGAACAGAACCATTATTTTAAAAGCATGGGAACTTTCCAGTCCCACAAAAAATGCAACAAAGCGCCCATGCAAAGAAACTTATTCCAGTGTCGGCCTGTCTGCCAGCTGAAAATCTTTACCAGTGTGTTCAAGCTACCGGCCCCTCGCCCTCCATCCAAAGCATGCATAGTCTATTGTAGTTACTGACGTTACAGGCGTGACTTAGAAATTAGGGAGAGAGATTTTTAATTAGAGAACAATGGATTCACTTTTTCCATGCAATTTAAGGATACTATATTTACAGTATCATGTTTCACATTGGATTTATTAACTACAAAAAGGTAACGATTTTATTTTAATTGTGGTGCTGCTCTGCACACACAAGTTTGAAGCTCTTGAACACTCTAGCCGGCATTATGAGTAATGTAATGGAACTGAGAGTCATGATCAAGAGCTGGGTCTGGTCTGTTAGTTAAGCCAACTCTCTGAAGTTCAAAGACATTCAAAGTTCCTTTATAGAAGCCGCTCCTCCGTAGGTATAATTCTGTGGGCTTAATTCAGATAATATATGTCATAACAACAAGATGCCCAGTGCGGCAGGTAGCTTAATGGTTAAGAGCATTGTGCCAGTAACCGAAAGGTTGCTGGTTCTAATCCCCGAGCCGACTAGGTGAAAAATCTGTCGATGTGCCCTTGAGCAAGGCACTTAACCCTAATTGCTCCTGTAAGTCGCTCTGGATAAGAGCGTCTGCTAAATGACCTATTTATTTATTCCTCACCCGCCAAATTTCAGTCGCATGTCGCACACTAGACTTGTCTGTCCAATACATGTACATTGCTTGCCTGCTCCATAGCAAGCTGCTCTATCCATTTGTGAAGTAATTTTCGAGCTACATGTTTAAAAAAATGTTGATTTCAGAAGTTTAAAAAGGAACAATATAAACAGTTACTTTTTTGGGGTTCGAACCGGTTCAGATCTTTATTTTGCTGGTTGGAACAGTGGAATCATTTCGGTTCCCTGGTTAAAACAGTGAAATGTTCCTATTTTTCCAGACATGTTGATGTCCAAGGGCTAGAAGGAGGAGAGGTCCTTACCTTTATGCTTGCGCAGGAAGTCGATGCTCTTCTGTAAGATGGTAGACTTGTCCATCTTCCGAGTGTTGCCCGGCAACATGGTAGCCAGCTCCTTGATGAGGACATTGAACTGGTCTCTGCGCTTCTTCTCAGACTTGTTACGGGACACTCTGGAGGGTTGGAGATGTTAAACATAAGAATACACATACTAAGATGCAAACAAAAACAACACAATGATCCAACTAAGCCTTGTACAGAGTTCCCTTTAATGGAGTGCTGGAGCTTATTAAGACCTCACCGTTTTGCTTTGTCCTTTTCATCTTCTTCCATTAACCCATCAAAGATACTGCTGGCGTCATCCCTGCAAAACAACCAACCAACCAGTCAAACAACATCCTCCAATCCTAAACCTCTACTCAATAAGGACCAGCCAATCACATACCACGGCCCCAAAACAATTTAAAATCTATTTATTTAAATGTAGTGCACTAACTTTACATTTACTTACACTTAAATAATGTCAGAGGAATATTATAACATATATTCAATTACAGACCAGAACAAAAAAACCTTGACAATGGCATTACAAAATAATTATTTTGGGCCAAACATAAGAGGTGCAGATAGCATTGGCCAGACTGCTACCTCAGCCCAGGCAGTAAAGGGCAGTGCCAGACTCAGTCTATATTTAGACAGAGACTTGTGCTCTGTGACTCAGCTGCTATCAAGGAACAAAGGCCGGGGATGAGACTCATTTGCCTTGGAAGGGAGAACCATTCGCTTACTCAGCCGACCAAGACTGACATCACTAACGTATGTCAAATGGTCATTATTAGGACCTTGACAAGTGGCATTGGCAATGTTCTGCCTGCAGTTAGAAAATAATAATAAGTACAGTGTGGATGAGACCTATTGAAGCCTATGGTGCTGTGTATACGTGCCAATATGCATGTAGCTGTGCGTGTGTGTGTACATGCAGTAAATGTTAATATGTACACCTCCAAGAAAATATTTTAAAGTACTCGTCTGTCTGTCTACATGCATTGCATGCGTGGATATGCAGGTGCACTTTCCTCAGGTCCAGGTGAGGGGTCACTGTGCTCCTCAGTCCTTCCAGCCAGTACCATAGATGTTTATTGGCCAACCGGAGTCACTCCTGAGGTCTATTTTCACTGCACACTTCCTCCCTTTCAACAATCATTCATGAATCACTGATCGAGATTCCTTGGAGGGGGGAAATCATGCTAATGCACATGCGTGCTGATCTGAGCCTGTGCCATTCTGTGGAATGAGGTATACTGGCACACTTTCTGTATGTGTGCATCTGTCCCCATATTTGCCCTTATGCGTTTTGGTGCATGCTGTGTGAGTATGAAAATAATGTTTTGTGTGAGTGTGTGTGTTTTTAACCCCAGAGCTGCTACGATCAAATCAGCTTCAATTACACTCACCAATGCTATTTTTAGACGAAGCCATTAACATCAACAATGTAGAAACCTGATGGTTTAATATCAAACAGTAATAAAGACACAGTAAAAACAAGCACACAGCCACGGACAGATAAGTACAGCCAGGCTCTGGCTTATCATTAGCCCTAATGGTGTTTGCTCTCATATGAGAATGAATGGGACTCGGGAGAAATGTGAACTGATATAGACGGAAAGACCTTTCTTTTTACATTCCCCTTGCTGGAGGCATCAGAGCAACAACAAATGCCCAAGAAGATGCCACCCGACTAAATGAAACTCTACCCATAGTACACTATTAAATTAGGCCACCTAAAGCTGGCAGTGTTTTATTATGCTGCCATGTAAAACTTGAGGATTGGGTATTTAAGCTGGTGTGAATAGTGTGTCGACAGCTCTACCCTCTGCCTTACAGGGGCAGAGCTACAGAGGACCGGAGGGCTATATGGGTGTGGCAACAAAACACTATTTCTTTAAGTAGCAGCCAAAGAGGGTCAAAGTGTGAATAAGTAAATTGAGTTACATTTTTCTAACATTTACAGTGCCTTCAGAAAGCATTCATAGCCCTTGACTTATTCCACATTTTGTTGTGTTACAGCATGAATTAAAATTTTATTATATTTTTTAAATCTCACCTCCTACACACAATACCCCATAATGACAAAGAGAAAACATGTTTTTACAATTTGTTGACTATTTATTGAAAATGAAATACTTTGCAGAAGCACCTTTGGCAGCGATTACAGCTGTGAGTCTTTCTGGGTAAGTCTCTAAGAGCCTTCCACACCTGGATTGTGCAACATTTGCTCATTATTATTTTCAAAATTCTTCAAGCTCTGTCAAATTGGTTGTTGATCATTGCTAGACAACCATTTTCAGGTCTTGCCATAGACTTTCAAGTAGATTTAAGTCATAACTGTAACTCGACCACTCAGGAACATTCACTGTCTTCTTGGTAAGCAACTCCAGTGTAGATTTGGCCTTGTGATTTAGGGCAACTACAGTGTAGATTTGGCCTTGTGTTTTAGGTTATTGTCCTGCTGAAAGGTGAATTAATCTCCCAGTGTCTGGTGGAAAGCAGACAGAAACAGGTTTTCCTCTAGGATTTTGCCTGTGCTTAGCTCCATTCCATTTCTTTTTTATGCTGAATAACTCCTCAGTCCTTAACGATTACAAGCATACCCATAACATGATCCAGCCACCACTATGCTTGAAAATATGGAGAGTGGTACTCAGTAATGTGTTGCATTGGACTTGCCCCAAACATAACACTTTGCATTCAGGATAGAAAGTTAATTGCTTTGCCAAATTTTTTGCATTATTACTTTAATAATAATAATAATAATATGCCATTTAGCAGACGCTTTTATCCAAAGCGACTTACAGTCATGCGTGCATACATTTATTATTATTATTTTTACGTATGGGTGGTCCCGGGGATCGAACCCACTACCTTGGCGTTACAAGCGCCGTGCTCTACCAGCTGAGTTTAGTGCCTTGTTGCAAACAGGATGCATGTTTTGGATTATTTGTATTCTGTACAGGCTTCCTTATTTTCACTCTGTCAATTAGGTTAGTACAGCCATTAAACTCTATCTGTTTTAAAGTCCCCATTGGCCTCATGGTGAAATCCCTGAGCGGTTTCCTTCCTCTCCCGCAGCTGAGTTAGGAAGGCATTGGAAAACCTCCCTGGTCATTGTGGTTGAATCTGTGAAATTCAGTGCTCGACTGAGGGACCTTACAGGTAATTGTACAGTGAGGGGAAAAAGTATTTGATCCCCTGCTGATTTTGTACGTTTGCCCATTGACAAAGAAATGATCAGTCTATAATTTTAATGGTAGGTTTATTTGAACAGTGAGAGACAGAATAACAACAAAAAAATCCAGAAAAACGCATGTCAAACATTTTATACATTGATTTGCATTTTAATGAGGGAAATAAGTATTTGACGCCCTCTCAATCAGAAAGATTTCTGGCTCCCAGGTGTCTTTCATACAGGTAATGAGCTGAGATTAGGAGCACACTCTTAATGGGTATACAATGACCCAAAATACACGGCCAAGGCAACAAAGGAGTGGCTCAAGAAGAAGCACATTAAGGTCCTGGAGTGGCCTAGCCAGTCTCCAGACCTTAATCCCATAGAAATCTGTGGAGGGAGCTGAAGGTTCGAGTTGCCAAACGTCAGCCTCGAAACCTTAATGACTTGGAGAAGATCTGCAAAGAGGAGTGGAACAAAATCCCTCCTGAGATGTGTGCAAATCTGGTGGCCAACTACAAGAAACATCTGACCTCTGTGATTGCCAACAAGGGTTTTTCCACCAAGTACTAAGTCATGTTTTGCAGAGGGGTCAAATACTTATTTCCCTCATTAAAATGCAAATCAATTTATAACATTTTTGACATGCATTTTTCTGGATTTTTGTTGTTGTTATTCTGTCTCTCACTGTTCAAATAAACCTACCATTAAAATTATAGACTGATCATGTCTTTGTCAGTGGGCAAACGTACAAAATCAGCAGGGGATCAAATACTTTTTTCCCTCACTGTATGTGTGCGGTACAGAGATGAGGTAGCCATTCAAAAATCATGTTTGACACAATTATTGCACACAGAATGAGTCCAAGAAACTTATTATGTAACCTGAATGCAAATGTTTACTCCTGTACTTAATTTAGGCTTGCCATAACAAAGGGGTTGAATACTTATTTAATACGCATTTCAGCTTGTCATTTTTTATTAATTTGTAAACATTTCAAAAGTCAATTCCACTTTGACATTATGGGGTATTGTGTGTAGGCCAGTGACAAAAACATCTCAATTTAATCCGTTTTAAATTCAGGCTGTAACAAAACAAAATGTGAAAAAAAGTAAAGGGATGTGAATACTTTCTGAAGGCACTGTACATCAAACACCAACTATCACCCTAACCTGTAAATCACTTATCTTCACTGTATTTAACAAGGCAAGTCCATTAAGAACAATTTCTTATTTACAATGACAACCTGGAAAGGTATAGTATATCCCTGACTGGAGGAAAAGTATACCAGGGTTGGGGTCAATTTGGAATATCTGAATTTAATTAATTTCAAACAATTAATTTGAATTCGACACACCCCATAGGAAGAAGAATTTGAATTGAATTTGAATTTAAAGAAGTAGAATTTAATTCAAAGCAATTCAAAACAATTCAACTGAGACGTGAAACATGAAAGTCTCATGCATTCGACAAATCTTTTATCAAAAGGATATTCCACTTAATGCAATGAATACTCAGTCAATATTCATGTAATAATAAGGAATTCCCCTCAACCACGCCCACAAATTGAGGAAAACAAACATTCTTTGCCATTGACCCCCAGTGTAAAAGAGCCATCTTCATCATACCTTTTTTTTTATACAGAAATATCAAAACATCACGAAAAGCTGCTGTGTTGTTCAATGTAGATGTTACCAGGTCAAAAATCCCGACCTACGATTCGCAATACTCCCACGTAGGGAAATAGAGCCTGCAAGAAGAGCCCTGTGGCTTCAGGCTATTCAGCGTGGGAGAGTGGGAAATGTGGGGAACCCGGTGTCCATGTAGGCTACACGTGTGGAAAACATTTCATCACAGGTAAGACATTTATCTTGTTTAGTATAGTTTGTTTGTAACTGCACTCACTCCTTTTTTATTTTTTTACCCTTATTTTTACCAGGTACGTTGACTGAGAAAACATTCTCATTTACAGCAACATCATTTTTCTGATATTTAAAAACATTAAGGGAATTATGAATTATTATAGACAACCCACATGACAGTGGAGGTAGAGTTCAGTGGTGCCTGACAGAGAGGCCCCTCTGTTGCATTAGACGGCATGCACACAAACACACAAACTGAGGGAAGAGAAAAACACC